ATGCATAAATCCAGCTTACAATATAAGATGTAATAAACGATGTCAAATATTGAGTATATATTAAAAGAATTAAATGCATTCAAAGAATAACTATGATGTAAATTTCTCAGTTTTAGTGTACTGACTGACCCGAAAAATGCGATAAATAATTTGATTTAAAAAGTTATAACTGTAGTACGATTTGTATAATTTTGATAAATATACTATATAATAAAAGCATTATCATTTAAAATGCTTTAAAAAAGAGTTAATTCAAAATATGAAATGTGAATTTCTTATTTTTATAATTTTATGGGGTTTGTTGCTATGGTTGGTAGAGGGTGTTATCTAAAGTCTTTGTATAAAATGAAAGAGCAGTTATTAATTAGTTTTTGAAGAAAATGACAAAATGATAACTATTAATCACTAGCGAGGTCACGCACGATTTAATTTTCAAATGATATAAAAGCTGTAACGGTATTTCCCCAGTTCGTGATAAACAAATGACAAATATTAAACAAATTTATATTTTGTTAATGGATTTAATACAAATTATTTTCTTTTTTTAATTGAAATTGTCAGTGAAATTTGTCAGTAGAAATTGTATTATCTCTGAAAGAATGAAAAACAACGTTTGGATTTAAATGAATGGTTGTTATTAGTTTTCGTTTCAAAGATAACGAATTTATTAAGAATATGATAAGACAACGTGCAAATTATTGTATAAAACATCCTTTGTAATTATTTCTATACAAAAATGAGCATTTTCACAGTGAGTTTGCAAAAGGTGATGTGTTAGCCACATGCCTGTGAACATCCAGTATATTTTGTTATTTTGTATGTTTGTTCGAATATCTTGAAAACTTTACTTTCCAAATGAATATGATCAACTGTAAGTATGGATACAATGTATTTGAGGACATTCTTCTATTGTATATAGTGTATATACACGAAAATATTTACATTTCTTGTGTCTTTGGTTCTTTGATACCACAATTACATTTATAAATATTTACATAAAATTAATCAAGACATCAAGTAAACATGTATTCATTAGAACGCCAATTTTGACCTTATTACGGGTATTGTACTAAATAAGTGGCCACGCAATTAGACACCGAGTAACCCTTAATGACATTTGTGTTCTTTTTTCCTTCGTTAACTTTTGGTCTTTAGAAATGCTTCTAAATAAGTTAATTGTATGGCTCATTAAATATGCAAATAAGTAAATTATATCTTATTGTGACAGTACACATTTAACTAGCCTTGTACTCTTGTGGAAACTAATAATCAACTGGGACATTCAGTAATTACATGGCATACCATCTAGTGAAACAAAAGCTAGAAACCAATTATCAGTAAACAGATTTTTGTACTTTGGCAGTCAGGTGAAGAAGGATAAAAAAAACTAAACCAATTGTTAAATAGCTCAATCAAAAATATAATTGAGCCGCGTCACGACAAAACCAACATGGGTTTGCATCCGCGCAGTCTGATCAGGATCCATGCTGTTCGCTATTAGTTTCTCTACTTGTTATAGGCTTTGTAAGCGAACAGCATGGATCCTGATCAGACTGCGCGGATGCACAGGCTGGTCTGGATCCATGCTGGTCGCAAACGCATTACGTTGGTTTTATCGTGACGCGGCTCAATTGATATGTAACTGTACTTGGTTTTCAAGGTCAAGCCATAAACTGTTTGAAATGTCCTTGCATTACAGGAATATTGGAACAATTAAAAAATCATCAGAGGACCTTTACTGAGGTTTAAAAGCCTAAAACATAAATTTTGAATTTCCTACATAATCTACTTGGGAGACTAAAAACAGGGTAAAAATAATGAAAAATAATCAGGATCTGATTAAATAATCGTAATTTTGTGCTATTCTCAGTCTGATATGAGTTTAAAACGTTATAACATTTTAAAGGTTTGGGGTCTTTAAGTTAGTTTAAACATATTTATTTCCCGAATTTTATACATATACATAACGTTTAAAATACAAATCAAACATTATTTCATTTATGAAAATGATTAGAACGGAATAATAAGCCTTAAAAATTTCTTCACCATTGAAGTGTTTTTAATATGTCGAGTTTTGTACAATATCAAGTCCTTACGTTAAGATAATTATTCTCGAAGAACACAGTGAGCGAATAATCTGATATTTTGAAAACAAGTTCAGACATACGTCAAATGATACTAAAACCTCGAATAGAATAATGCTAGTTATGTAAAAAAAAATAAAACAAAAAAATAAAACTTAAGTGGGGAGCTTTTAATGCGAGAAAGTTGTTTCATATTCATGCATGCATATATGGTTGTATATGGATATGAGCTGTATATGCTTAATAAAATAAGATATATGTTATGTCCTCTTCTCTTCTGCTATATCTAGTATATGGTATCAGACGTTAATTGATAGCACACGCGTTGCTCTTAAAAATTATGATGTACATTCACTAAAAAACCGAAATTTTCGAGCGAACCTATTTAGTTGTTCATTTGCTTTGACTACTTGACAAAAATTTTTTGCTGAAATACCCATATGACAAAAAACATTACCGATTAATTGTATTAAAGTTACATCAAATAAATTTCATAAAAAAGAAATAGCGACATTTCATTAATAAATTGGGTTTCATATCGACTCCAGATCTTATTTTGGTGTCCAGACAACCAAAATGAGTTTAATGAGCATACAAATGTGCAACCTTATTGTGGCAAATTCGGTAGTACAATTTCTGTTTGCATGAGAAACTCCGCCTTCGGATCATCGTACATCAATATTAAATCAACAAACATGACTTTAAGTAGCAGTCCTATTTTAACGGTATATTTCCGCATTGTAACGGATATTTTCATACAAATTTAATCTTTTTTATGAGATGATTATTTTTTCTGAACCACAGGCCTCGTGCACCGTGAAGCTTAAAAGGTAAAATTTTAAGTGTGTTTGCACAAGAAAATCTTATATTTGCTGTGTTCCGGATAGCAACTATAACACCATGACGTAGCGCATACACGAGCTGATTATAGTCTTTATTTGCATGTTTAAATTCGTATACGAACTTTAGTGTTACCGTGGGGTTTTCCATTTAAAATTCTTATTTATGAACAAGATTTGATGAGATTAACAACGATACTGTTAAAAAGGTTAATGAAACTGTAGAATGCTTGGTTTTTAGGCCGACGGCAAAAATATTTTAACATATTTATTTAATGTAGCTTTAAATAATATAACTGTTAACAATATAACTAATAGTGTATATCCAATTAGTTTGATTTTGTGTTTTATACTGTCTTTGTTCACATGTTATTACAATAATATTTGTATATTGTAATTTGTGTCAATCCAATAAAGTATACATGTATGTTACATGTTCTGTTCATGAAATAATAACAAGACAATTGGTGTTCAAAATACATGGCGAGGGAAGAATTTGAAATATTACTACTTATGACAATGCAGTATGTAATAGAAAGAGCTCGAGTGCGCGTAGCCCCTTTAGTATAAATCAGATTGCCGAGTGTTTTGATGTTCTTTGTTCACTGTTGTCACAATGTAAAAACCCCGGAAAAAGTAAACAATGAACGAGCATCTGAATATGATTTTTCTATTGCTATAACCCTTTCTCTGTCGTCACAATAAGTAGTCCCAAGAAAAAATGAGTAAAATCTATGGGTATGCTCTAGAGTGCGATAGTTAATACCTGCACTCTAGTTAACGCACTGTGCATGTTTATGTATACAATTTAACCCTGGCACATTTTCAACAGAAAGATCCCCAAACTATGATTAAGCATATAGCACATTTCAGGTGAGTATTATGTTATCATTCTTATGTCATCGTAAGGAATTTTTTAAAGGCTTCTTTGATTTGATAAAAAAGGGAAGGAAACTTATGATTTTAAGAGAGAATATTATTGACAAAATAATTAGTATTACGATGGCGTGCTGACGTTTCCCTTTGTCGAGTTTTAATTTCTAGCAGGAAAAGTATGTCATTTCTTGTTCAGTAGGTTTAAGATAATAATAATGATGAAGAATGAAGACCATATTAATCTAACAGAACAACATAACATAATGTTTCCAACGATGTAACAGTGATAAGATTATATGGATTAATCCGTTCATTACGAAGCCAGTTTCGTTTCCGAACCTTGAATATTACATATGAGCCGCGTCTCGACAAAACCAACGTAATACGTTTGCGACCAGCATGGATCCAGACCAGCCTGCGCATCCGCACAGTCTGATCAGGATCCATGCTGTTTGCTATCAGTTTCCCTACTTGTGATATAGTTGTAAGCGAACAGCATGGATCCTGATCAGACTGCGTGGATGCGCAGGCTTGTCTAGATCCATGCTGGTCGCAAACCCATTATGTTGGTTTTGTCATGACGCGACTCATATATCCTATTGATAATGTATTAGCTCATCAGATCTCCTACCAGATAAAACGGCAGCTATTGTAAATAAAATGAAACGTGTTTCTCACTTTAGAAATTAAATTGTACTAGATAACAATAGATATTTAGAAATTCGTATAACTATAACAGTAAAAAATATTCACATTAGTGACTGATTGCAGCATAAAAATATCATTTTATTTGAATAATTCTCATTAATTTCATGATTTTTCTCGTGGCATTGGAATTGATTTTCTGACATTTCCATACCAATTCGAATTCATTACAGGTGACGATGCACAAATGCATGTTTTTATTGTTGTATATTGAATTTCTAATCGTTTTGCTTGAATGTGTGTTATTTCTTTATGTACTGGATGTTCCGGAGTTGGTGAATATATTTGGTATCAAGTAAATACAAATGGTAAAACATAAGGTTATGAATTCTACAAAAAAAAAACTTTTATAATTATGCCCATTTGAAGATCCTAAAAAATATATAATTTTCCCGTGATATTCGGTGTTTTAAAAGTGACTATATAGGTTTGTATTAAATTAATGCTGAAAGTCTTCACAATTTCTAATATATTTATTTTCTTCAAATTAAAAAATTTAAATTAACTTTACATTAACTTTACAACCAAGAACACTCTACGAATTCGTCAAAAACACTTTTTCTTTAGTTCTACTTAAATATACCAGTTCCGCGATTTTTAAACGTATGTTCTTGACATGAACTGATTTCTTGATTGTTTTCCACAACACTTGGATACGAAATCGTTAAACGCCTTTCTAAATTCCATATTAAATACTGTATAAATGACCGGGTTTAGCATGGAGTTAACGTATCCGAGCCATACAAAAAGAACTTCTACGAATTCTCCAGGATGGCTGCAGCTGCTACAAAACGGCAATATAAGGTATAGCAAGAAAAATGGAATCCAGCACAGAACAAATGTAATCATTATTATTGCTAGAGTTCGTGCTGCCTTCCGTTCCTTTGACAAAGAAATTCGTTGCTTTTCTTCAAAGAACGCATGCATGGATTGTCGCGAGCGTGCACTTCGCGCTTTGTCCTTCAAAGCTTTTTTAGAGTCTTTTCGTTTTCTGGATATATTTTTCTGACTACTATCTGATACACTTCCATTTTGGTCCGTAGCATTCGTACCATTTTTGTCAGATGTTTGACACGATTTAAATGATCCATTGTTAAGTGTTTCTGAATTATTTACACATATTTCATTTAAATTGGTTGCTTCATTTGCCTCATCGTTTGTGCTGTCGCTATGACTTCTCTGGCTGCGAGATGTCACACTTTTCGTAGTTTTTAAAAGTGCCATTTTCGTCCTAGCTGCTTCCGTCCGCTGTCGTAAACGCTTTTTGGTTGCAAGGAAGATTTTAAAGTAAACGAATGACATAACTAATAGCGGGATATAGAAAGACCCACAAGCAGAGTACAATACATAACCTTTATCATCAGAAAGTTTGCAAGATTTCGTAGTGTCATCATACAAACGGTACGTACCAGAATCTCCCCATCCGAACACTGGTGGTATTGAAATCATTCCGCTGAGAGTCCATGAGATACATATCATAATCAGGACGCGCTTGATTGTTCTTTTCTGGGCATATGTTATTGGATCGTGAATTGCCCAATAACGATCAAGGGCAATTATGCACAGATTTAAAATGGAAGCAGTACAAAGAAAAACATCGCTTGTAAGCCAGATTTTGCACATTATTTCCCCGTATATCCAAAATCCTGCAATATTGTTGGAAATATGAAATGGCATAACAAACACTGCGACGAAAAAATCAGCCATAGCTAATGAGACTATGAAAAAGTTTGGCACAGTTCGTAATGGTTTGTTTGTGAAAACGGAAACGATCACAAACACATTTCCAGCAATGGTTATCACTGCCATGATAATCATACTACAAGTGCTGAAAACCATGTACCATGGTTGGCGAACATCTGAGTCTATCTCCGTAATGGATGTATTATTCTCCATCTTGAAAACTATTGTCAATAACAGAGAAACTCTACGTTAATTCTGATTCAAAACAAATCTAGGCAAGTCAACCATCTAGACCTAATAAGCTATTTAAACACTAAAACTGTCTTTCAGCATTTTAAACATCCAAATCATTTCCATCGTTAAACGTATTTCCATTGAGGATAGAGATCACCGTATTTTGTATTTTCAGAAATCAAAGACGCCGTTTTATTCCGCCAATTATACTCATCTGACGGAGATAAAATCACAAATTAAAACAAATCTGGCAGAATAAAATCTTATTACAACGTCTTCCTCGAATCTACAGTCCAATATCTGTTTTCTTTTTTATCTTTTCCTTCGCAAATAGCCACGTTAATTACGGAAGACTTCACATACTCACTTTAACCCAGATAGATCGTTTGATGATTTCTGTTTTTGGTTATTCTTTCACCAGAGAAATGAAAAGTTCAGTTTTCTCAACAAATATTTTGTTAAGATTAATGTTCAATTTTGTTTTGTTGCCTTGTGGAAAAACGAATTGCCGTGTATTTTATTGCTTTCGTGTAATTGAAAGTCAGATCATTAATTGCATTTGGGATTATTTTTCAAAGACTAGAGCTGTTTTCTCGAATTTATGAGACAGTAAAAAAATTAAAGAAGGTCACATATTGTCAACCACTTTCTTTAGATTTTTTGTAACCTTTACACTAGAAATTTCACGCTTTAAATGTACTAATACATCGTTAAACCATTTTTTGGAGAGAGTTTTTTTTTTCAAAAAAAGCTTGAAGATACCATTTAATTTTCTACGCTCACCAAAGTAAACTGATAAATTCCTTTGTTGATAAAACAATATTTTGAGTTTTAAATTGTTTAAACAATATTAATTTAACGTGCTCAATTTGTTTTCTTCACAAAGGTCTTGCCTCATAATAATTTTGTGAGAAATAATCTATTGTTTCAAACAGTGTTTGAATATTTCACAGCTTTGATATCTTTAGCATTCATTATAAATTGATTGTTTGGTTTCCTTGATCCGCTGAAGGTAAATGTATGTTTGAGTCGATCATATAATATTGCTGCATATAATCCATGTATATTTTCTTTGTAAACAAAACTGAAGTTTTCCTGCTATTCATTTAAGTCCGTTTTGCAGCTTTAAGTTCTTGTTGTAAACATTTTATTTAGAAATAGTTTTTTGCACGGAACACTGAAGTTCAAATATTATCCATATTTGCAATGTGTATTATTTAATTTAGTTTTCGAAATGTTTTGTATATATATTTTGATGTATGACAAACCGTTTGTTTGTTCATTAGTTTCGTTATATAGACGAAGCTAGGCAATATTTACACTAAGTAAGAAAAAAACTATGTTTGTTGAGTTTTTAAGTCGCCCCTTGTAAAACAATTGACTGGATTAATGAGTTTATTTCAACAAACACTTTTCCTTTGTTCTCGTTGTTTGATGTTTTCACATAATTTTATTATTATTTTTAATCTTAAAAAACAACATTTTTAATACAACTATTTTACAATAAGTTCGATTGCTTCAATATGTGTTTTAATTCCAAACGATAGTCCAATGAAAAATAAGTGTCCAATTCAGTTCCCCCAAAATAACAGTAACAGTCCACTTTAATTTATTGTTTCCTTGAAATAGCTTTTCAGTTCTAAAATAACGTTATTTTCGTATTTTTGTAACATAAATTGTACGAAAATGTTTTTTTTTTATAAATTAGACATGCCACGTTACAGTAGATGCCTGGCTATTTAACTCCAAGCAGAAATGCTGCTATTCTATAATCCACTAATAGCCGCGTCATTTCTTCAATCCAACATATTGTTTTGACAAGCCTTCTTAAATTCCAATCTCAAATGAATGCTTCGACAACGTAAACGACATACTAATGCCACTACAGACAGACGACAGAAATCTGTCATAAGAAATGTCCAATATCGTTTATTCTAACCCGCATGCCTCACTATCGTTTGAACATTCTGTTCAGCGTTATTGGAGATATCTGATTGGTTGTTGGCATTGTAATGCGCTTTAAGAATACAAATTTACGACATCAAGATATTGGTACAAAATTTTATTAGACTTGCATAAATCAAGTTTATATGCGTTGAAACACTTCCTTGCACAGTTATATACAAATATAGATTAAAACTCGCATTTATGGCACCGAGAGTCTTACCAATCTTAAAGGGGTACGGTTCCAGACTATTGGTTATTGTAATGATATTTTAATATCAAAAAAGATTGTCTGGTGTACCAGAAATAGGGGGTAAATCTGCACACAGAAATTAACTATAAGGTATCATACGATACGTAAAAAAATACATTACTGCGTTAGTCATGTAGAAAACTTGATGATGTAATAGCATTATGTTTTATTGTGTATGTACATGCAAGGTGTCGCCTAGATTGTAAAAAAGGAAAGAACAGCTTTGTCCATCACTTGCTAACCTAAGATCACAAAAGCTTTCAGAATTTAAATATCTTTCTCAGTTTGCAATGCTATAAAAACCGATATGTCATAGTGTGATATCCCTTGTGCATCGTTATCAGTTTTCCACTTGAGTAGTATCTTTAGAGATATTCAATCATACAAAAATGCATAACAGACACGGGAGGAAATTATATGTTGACGGTGTAGACTTTTTGATGCACAATTATTCATTCAAAGTTGAGATCCAGATTCCAATCGGCAGATGATTATTTACCCGGCAATATTGTAATATCTCTGTGATTCCCTGTCTCGTCCCCATTATTGGCTATTTCATTCAGTTTCATTTCATTCAGTTCTCTGGAATGGTATTTACTGCTGACCTGCAACTGTAACTAGTCTCTACCTTCTTCTTGATGAATTTATTGATTTTTAGGAGTATTGATTATTTGTTTCGTTTTCGGTCAGACAGTCTGTGGCTAAGCATTGATAGTGTCACCCTCCGAATATCTCTTTTAAATATTTTTCTTTTGTTTACAAGATTTTTACAAGTTTATTTAATACTCAGTTCATGAATAACATGACAATACAAGCTTTAATATATTCATGAAATAAACTAAAGAGACATATATTAATACGCATATACATATCGCGCATTCTGTTTTATACAAGGGATCCATATGTTTATATTAAATAACAATAATGTAACCAATACATGCTTTTTTATAGAGATCCGTCATAAACTCAAATGAGATCAACTAATATACGACAGATCTTTATAACAAGGCACACATTGCAGTATTATTTCTAAGACATACATCATATTGCTTCGTTATTTATTATTAAATTTTGTAATAATTCTCTTAACAAATATGCATTCAAGTGCTTGTATTTATCATAATGTTTTGTATCTATATTCATTACATATTTAAAAACTATTTATAATATTAGGTTTTCCAATATATTGATGACCTTAATGCTATTTTCTTAGTGCATAAAATTCTTTAAACCCTTTTAGAGAATGAAATTCATCACCAATCTACCAAAAAGTAGTACAGCTAAAAGGTGCACACTTTCGCTGGTGAAGTTTAGTACTATCCAGCTTCCAGTTTCTACTTGGAGTCTTATAATACGGGAAGATAATTCTTGTGATTGCCTAATATAATAATGATTGTTTTCTTTACCTTTGAATAATAAATTGACATACAGCGCTTTGTGATACTAAGATATTTGGATTATGTGTTAAAACAATTTCCCTCAAATGTTTGTGTTTTTCATCACAGTTTAACAACATATTTCATGAATAAAATGATTTATCAAAGCTAATCATTCGTTCCAGCAATGCAATAGTATAAATAATTAACTTTGCCAAGTTATTTTACTATTAATAATAAATTTGCATCATAATTTTCTATAAATTGATACAGTTGTTAATAAAAGTATAGTCCGACCCCAGTTTTTCGACATCCCTTTATTCAAATACTCGGCATTATACGCAGTAGATCGGCGGTCCAGTTTGGAACTCTAGATATAGGTTTTTGACCATATATAAATTTTATAAAAATATTTAATTAGATAAAGCTTAATAGCCTTTAACATGCCTAAAGTTAGCCATTTTAAATTTAGAATAATATATTTAAAACGGGAAGCATTATTTTTAAATGTTATCAGTCCTTTTCAAACCATTTTCATATTTGTTCGTGTAATTACATGTATAAGAAAACACTACAGTGACCCTATAAAACTTTACATGTGACCCTATAAAACCCCGTACATACAATCAATGTTGTTATATTTTCATCCTCAAGGGATTGTTCGGCGTTCAGTGTCGGTGTCCCCCTCCATGTCCAGCCTTCATAGACTAATGATTTATATTTATTTCCACTTTAATATTTTTTTATACCCAAATTTTCTTTAATCTTACCCTTTTGCTCTGTCTTTGCCCTGTCCTGTTTTTGTTTGGGGTCCGCCTGGGCTCCTTGCCATTGGTTCTTGTTGCTGGGTCATATGGGGGTTGCGTTCATTGGACGCCGCCTTTTCTTGTTGATCTTGTTTATCATATTTTAATATGTTAACTATGTAAACATATTTTAAACTGCTCGCCCATATAGTATTTTCCGATGGCGAAAGTAAATAAATTAATTAAAAATATTTTAGACACTTATTGATCATCATGTGATAAATTCTGATTTATTTTTTCTCGTTATTTTGGACAAAATTTTAATGTCAGATCTTGTGTAAATAAACTCAGTAAGTTCTCACGTACAATAAAATGTTCACGACAATATATAATGAGATCTGAATGCAAGAGGTATTGTTAAACAGAACTTTATTATCCAAGCAAATTTACTAAAAAAGTTAAAGAACTATCCTGTACATTTTTATTTCAGAACTATCATTTATATTTAATATCATAATGGAAAGAACTATACTTTAGATTTTAGATTAGAACTATCTTAGAATGACAAGAACTATCCTTTACGTTTGCTATTAGAATGGCCTATGAAATTCCCAGCTTTCATTTTGTAAATGAAAATTCTTCTTATATTCAGTTCTTCCCTGTAAATTTTACAGGAAGTCTAACTTAAAAAACTGACAGGCCTTTGGCCGGAAAAAGATCTAGAACAAAGCAAAACCAAAAATAAAATAAAAATAAAAACAAGTCTTTCAATTAAAATCAGTAAAGACAGGATTGCAGGCGTAGAAATTTTATCGGAGACAGACACGCATTCAGTTCTTCTAGTTTTGCTCTCAAATGTATAATTAAATGTCTGAATTGAATCAACGTTGACATCGTGGTATTTTATTTTAAAGCAGACATGTTTGATTTAGAACGCAACAAAACTAACATCTATTAACATCGGAACATTACGACAATAATCAAAGGCAGTCCGGATGCATGCATGATTTTTGATGTTTTCGTTTTAATTTTCATATCATTTAATTATACTGTTTTTTCTCCGTAACCAAATCTTTGGGGATATTTTATATAGTAAGTAAAATAAATAAAGTTAATGATGTATTCAGGTACCCGCAGGTGCACGGAGGTTATATGCCTGCCACATAAATATGATCGTGTTATATAGGGGTAGCCAACCATTTTTTTTTTGCAAAATAACTTGAAAGAGGATTACCCCCTGCCCCTTTTCATTGAGATATTTGCTGATATGCAAATATTCACCCGAGACTTATGAAATACCGGGTTTTCATTTTCTTGAGAAAACAATGTAGTGTTTGTTTCTAAACTAGTTTTCATACTTTAAAACATCCCATTTTCGCTTCGTTACTGTAATAGTTTTCAGTGGTAATGAAATTGACGCTAAACATTTACCCGAGACCCTGATTTATTCGTCTGTGAAGAAAGTCTCATATTTTTCCTTTTTCTTGAATATCACATTACAAAATAGAAATACGAAAACCTACTCGTTTATTAAGTACTGTTGTGTTAGTGTACTGTATCAATTTCCGTCTTTACATTCATAACAACGGAATAACTTGTTCATTAAAACATCTGGATATCATTTAAAAGCATGTGACTCATCTGGCACAGTGGTGTAAAATGAGGTTTTAGTGCCGTTCTAAACAGTAGAAAATCTGTCTTCAAAAATAAACTATTAAATTGTTACACGATGGCATATACCGGAGACTATAAATACGATAAAACAAGGCGATTTTTTGCTTTCAGAAAAGTCTGAAAACAAAAACATGTATTCATACATTATCTAATGTTTATTTGAAATACCGGATTTGTTTTTTCTTTAGTGTTTAGAAAAGTATAAAATAAAATAAATATCTTCGCCTCTTGAACTGTCACAATGTATCTTTTGCAAAAAAAAACATAACGCATGTCTTTATATTTCTCTTTTATAATATAAAACATATCTTAATGTCAATTAAATTTATGTTGCGTAAAAAGATGACGTCATTATAAAAAGAAAATGGTTTTCAAAATCCCCTTTATATATCTAGTTCTTACTATACAATTATAAACATAAAAGAAATCGACCATTTGTCGTACATTGATCATATGGACGTTCGTTAAACTCGTCACAAAAACATTTATGACGCTTGCCTTTTAATATTTCCTGTAAGCGTTTAATTTAAGTCTAAAGTAAATGACAAATGATGTAAGATGCTTTTAGTCGAATCTTATCTAATGTTCTTATAAAATGAACGTTAAAATGACGTTTCCACATAAATGAGTTGGTAATCTTATTCATTCTCTAATGTCAGTAAGCTATTTGAATAAGCCATTTAAACGCGAATTTTATCCATGGAATTTAACCATTCTCTGATCGTTTCAGCTTATGATAAATAGCAGCTGTTGTTGTGAACGAAATTAGGAAAGAAACGAATTGAAAAATAGCATGATATATTCTATGAGTTAGATACAACACAATATTTGTAAGTCTGTCTTTATGATTTTAAAATTAATAATGTCTTCATGGTATATGAATCATAACCAACAATGGTTTTGTAACCGAAGTCAATCATAACCAGACAGAGTGTAGATTCCTTAACGTCTGTTTTTTAAATGTGTGACCGCTTATATTTTTTTTTGTTTAAATCGTTTATGTATTTTATTTTATTAAATCAAATATCTCAAACGTTCACAAACCCTATCCGTTAAAGCAAACAGTACGAATTAAGATCACGTACGTAATTGTTCATGGAAGGACTAAATTAAATCAAACCGTATTTATGCCCAAAACATTAACTATCGTCTTTCATCCGGCGTTTTGTATGCTTCCTTTTCCTTTTATTTCCTTTTGTGCTTTTTTCTAATAGGTCCAGGAAATTAAACTTATTAATAACCAGACAGAGTGTAGATTCCTAAACGTCTGTTTTTTAATTATGTGACCGCTTGTATTTTTTTTAAATCGTTTATGTGCTTTACTTATAATTATATTAACTTTAATGTTAATTAATTAAGAAAATGTGCATACTATGATTCTATATTTAATATTGTCTTGAAATTACGACATTAATTTAATTTCTGTCCATTAATAAAACTTTACATAGGTCCGCCAAAAGTCATCACACAGAAAATTGGTAGCAGTATCCTGAATCTTATTTCAATGCCATTGACATTTAATCAATTTTCTCCTCGGAAACAATAATTATATTGATCTCGTCTCTAGAATTATCAAATCAGATGTGTTGCTTTTATAGATTTAATTACAACTTTAGAATGTTATGTTTGATGACGTTTTCAGGAAAAATACCTTTTGTTATTTGTCTTTCAAACTAAACGCATGTGCTATTTAATTAGCATGTTGAATTTATGTGTTTTCAAAATTCCTAAACTCTACAAATCACACACATATAGGTCCGTTATTAAATTATTCATAACTATATACAATCAAACTTAAATGCATCTTTCTTTTATAAAAAAAATATTAATTCATGGATAACAGATAAAATGATGGAAAACCAGTACTGAAAAGTTAATTTTACGATTTCGAGAACAAACATGGCGTTTTCCATAAAGCCGACAGATAAACTGGCAAAAAAAACTTGCCCATTAAAAGTGTGTCTTTTCCGTGTATTGTTTCAAATTACTTCAAACATTTTTTAACATTAAAATAAACAATTTGTTTTACTTCCACGGACAACGTTTTTTGATACTTCGTCTAAAGCCTATGTGTAAAGAACTGTTTGACTGCATGACTAAAATAGCTTTCTTGATAAATCCGAATCACGATGAAGCGAAACAAATATAGTGGTCAAAAGTGGTCATCAGATCTAAATGTAAAACATAATTAGCTCTGAACTTAAGTCAGGTTGTAATGATCAACTGATATACAAGTAAACTATAACTTCGAAAATGCCATATTTCTTATGTTAAGTAACATTTTTGTTTTCTAACATTATAAATTATAATGCTTAACCGATCATACACTAAGCCAGCATCTATTACTTTATTTTTCAACTAATCAAAACTAAACAAGTAAACTTTTTAAAATCGAGTAGAAGATGTTTTATTTAAATAAAATATTTAAGCTACTTTTTGATGTTCTGACAAACTCCAGGAATGAATGTAAAGTGTAAGAATTAAACTGCAAGAATCAGAAATCATTGGACTTTATTCAATATAAACAAAAGTCTTCATAGTTTATATTTTGAATGTTGGCATATGGTAAATATCTTAATAAAACGTGTGTCTGTGTACAAACACAAAAGTCATTGTTTCTCCTTAAGCTACAATTGTCCGTTTTTGTGTTTAAATTATAATAATCATTGTAAATCATATATCAAAGTTTACTTTAAAACAAAACTTAATGGAGTGCCTTGCAGTTTTATGAAAGTCGCAACGTTAGCAAGAACTTTTGACATCATCTGACAAAAGTTCAATACAATAATTATTGATTTTATGGAAACTGACTTGTCAAGAACTGACTGAACAGAAGTTAGAAATTAAGCAATTTTATAAACAAGACAGTTATATTTTTTTATAAATGACTAAACAATATTTTTTTTATCTAAATTTTTAAACGATTCTGAAACGAAACAAAAAATCAAAAATGAAAATTTAATTTTTGACTTAATTCTAAGCTGTTCATGATGAATACATTAATAAAATAATTTGATGTTGTTACGATTTTTCCATAAATACGTATGGACTTTCTATGCATACATGTATCAGGTAAATTATCAACGCCAATAAAACTAGATGCATTATAAAAAATATTTTTGATACGATCGTACAATAAGCCAGCATCTGTTACTTTATTTTTCAACTAATCAAAACTAAACAAGTAAACTTTTTAAAATCGAGTAGAAGATGTTTTATTTAAATAAAATATTTAAGCTACTTTTTGATGTTCTGACAAACTCCAGGAATGAATGTAAAGTGTAAGAATTAAACTGCAAGAATCAGAAATCATTGGACTTTATTCAATATAAACAAAAGTAATCATAGTTTATATTTTGAATGTTGGCATATGGTAAATATCTTAATAAAACGTATGTCTGCATAAAAACACAAAAGTCATTGTTTTTCCTTAAGCTACAATTGTCCGTTTTTGTGTTCAAATTATAATAATCATTGTAAATCAGATATCAAAGTTTATTTTAAAACAAAACTTAATGGAGTGTCTTGCCGTTTTTTTGAAAGTCGCAACGTTAGCAAGAACTTTTGACATCATCTGACAAAAGTTCAATACAACAATTATTGATTTTATGGAAACTAACTTGTCAAGAACTGACTGAACAGAAGTTAGAAATTAAGCAATTTTATACACAAGACAGTTATATTTTTTTATAAATGACTAAACAATATTTTTTTTTATCTAAATTTTAAAACGATTCTGAAACGAAACAAAAAATCAAAAATGAAAATTTAATTTTTGACTTAATTCTAAGCTGTTCATGATGAATACATTAATCAAATAATTCGATGTTGTTACGATTTTCCATAAATACGTATGGACTGTCTGTGCATACATGTATCAGGTAAATTATCAACGCCAATAAAACTAGATGCATTATAAAAAATATTTTTGATAGGAAATAAGATACATATACATAAAAAGATATTTGAAAACACATTGTGAAAGTGATCACAAAAAGGCTAGGTCTATAAAGCTATGATATCCATAACAACAGTTGAAACATTCAGTTCAACGCCAAGGGCATGAGGTACAGAGTATGACAATGTCCTAAACGTGTACATCAACAAGCTGTCACGTGACGATACACATTGGTCAGGTGATTCCTTAAGAACTTTTGCATTACACCTAAGAACTTGTGCAACATTTCTGAAAAACAATAAGATAAACTTAGATTAAATTGCATCATAATTTGATTATCAGATCACAAGTTGCATTTTGATATTAACATAATAGATATCAACATTTATGTTTCCACCTCTAGTCATTTTTACGATAGGAGAAACGTATTTTGGCAATATGTTCAATACTATCACAAAAACGATGTCATTTTAAAGAAAGCACATAGAAAGTATTGTCATCGTTCTTCAAATAACACAGCAGTTTATAGTATTTTCATAAATTTACCTAACATGCTAGCTTAGTGAACAAAGACTTAATTTTAACTTGATTAGGTAGGAAGCTTTAATTTATAGACAATCTCAAATACGTTTCTGTAAGACAACTGTAACGGCAATAAATGTAAAGCTTCAAAGCAACAGCGGTTTGTCCGTCACAAGGTCAGCAAACCTGACACCTCAACCAACGGGCCAGGCCCTCGCAGAATTTAGTTTAATATTCGTATATAAATTAAAAATATCATTATCCGCAAGTAGCAAATAATAATTGCACAACACTAGAAAATTAATTATAACATTTGGAAAATGTGGTCATCAACTATATTATAAAAATAACACATGTCTTTCGGGGTTATATTGCATATTAGCAACCTGAGAACTGAAATGATAACCAACTTTTGAATACAGTAAAACATTTTTATATTGTAATAAGTTTATGTGAGCAGAGCGGCCAGGGGAGAAAACTAATACGAGTCTATATAGGTTATTCGCCCCTAGGGAATATTGCAAATAATATTGACCGGGTGATATTTATTTCCACGATGAAAGATCGAAATAACACCATGTGACGTCACATTAGGCAATTATATAGTAAAAAGGTAAAAATGCTTACGTGAAGTACAATAACAGCATTACACATGTAACATGATATTTTACCTCATCATTTCCTCTACACCATCTTCAATACCGACATCATAATCAATTTCAGGCACGTTGTTCTCGCACGTCTCAATAATGTCTAATGCATAATCTTCACACTTTGTATCATAGGTGAACGTTTCAGGGATAACTTAAACATATTAGTATGCTATATTTACCAAACTTTTTTTTTACATTTCAGTGAAAATATTTGTATGACTGAGGAACAAGAAAGCGTTTTGGTATATCAGATTAATATGTTGGCTTTAAAAGTGATATACCTAAAGCTAAGAAAAATACTTAATTTTTTTTTATTTTAAAATATTAAGATATTAAATCGGATAGCTTACAGATTTACAAAAATATTTTGAAAAACCCTTACGAGATTCAGACTCTTCTTTGATTCTTCCATTTTCGCATAAACCTCCTGTAGTTTTAACTAAAGAGTGAATTTGATCTCGGTTGCTACAATGTAAAGCTTTTCCATCTGTGCACGTTGATGCTGAATCGAGAACACTGTAATTCAAAGTATATACTTGATTGTGTATTATTAATTGTATCATAGTTTGGAAACCTTTTAATTGAAAATATGTTCGAATACAATCGTATACCCATAACTGGACTGCTGATATTAGAAACCCACACTCCAGTGATCGCACTGTCCGTCGGGGATAACAAAATAGATCATGCTCGTTGAATGGCTACATTTTTGTGGGGTTTACGTTTTGTGATGACAAGGAAAGTGCGTTCAGTTTTGCCTATGATATAAAAAAGAAAGAACATCAAACCACTTTGCAATCTGATTTATACTCGCGGCTACTACCTCTTCTAAAAAGCAGATACATGTAGCCTCTTGTTTCGATGTTCTTTCTATAACTTATCAATATGATGATACAAACGTAGATACCATTATATTCCTATTCAATCAGGCTACACTAACGAAGACATGATAAAAGTATCATATCGATACATTTTCTGTTAAACCACTATTACAATGGAGCATGCGGCAAAGTTTATTTTTTAAATTATTATTACGCCCGCTATTTGCTTTAGAAAATATTTTATTTTGCTACTGTCTATAAAGCCCTGCCGGATAAACTTATCTATCTCCAGTCATTACGTCACATGATGACGTCACATGTTTAGCAGCAAAACAAAACTGCGTATAGTTGCTATTCTATCGGGGACACCATTTCAATATTCTAAAAACATGATAAAAAGCAGGATAAATCAAATACATGGTTGCAGTCGGGATGGAGAAGGTTTATTCGGTTCGCTGCGAAAGTGAATCTTGGCTCGCTAAAGCTCGCCAAGATACACTTTCTCGCTCACCGGATAAACCTTCTCCATCCCGACATCAATTCCATGTATTTTTTATGTTTCTTAAGCCGCCTTGGGTATTAAACAATTCTTATACTGATAGAATGAAATTAAAACTCATACGCTGATAGAAATTAAAACAGGAACAAATAACATTTTTTAAGGATCACCAATGCAATGTAGAATTAAGTTCAAAATTTAAAGAAACAACTCTTAGTTAGTGTCGTTTAAGGAAAATATAGAAATAAAAGCATTAAATAAAGAATATGTATCAAAATAGAATAACATGAAGGAGTTAAGAAGGCAGTAAAAACGCGGTCAAATACTGCGTATATTTTACAGCACGTAACTTTAAAATGCTCGGATACATAGCACGAAATCAATGCAATTTTGGCCCTAACTTAAAGTAAATTGCTGAATGTTACCTGCACCAATAGTTTACTACTTGTAATAAATCTTGTTTATTCAGAATATCCTTTTGGTTGATGTGTGACAATTGTTGGAATGTATATCTGTTAGTGCCACCGAACATGGACGAAAGCGCACAGCTTGAAAATATCTCGTAAATATCCCGGTATTTATGACAGTTTGCTATATTGTCCTGGCAGAAAACAAAGGGTACTGTCACATTTATAACTGAAAAGGCAAAAAAAATACTATTAACTTAAAGATTAAATAAATTGGTTAATGAATTATGAATTAAAACAGTGTTCAAAGTAACAGTATCAGAGGTTATAAAGACATTACAAATCATAACAATAATCTGAATAGATATAATTTTGTCTGAAAATGCAAAAGCAAATTGAAAAATATGCAAATTTGAAATTCTTCTTAAATGAATATTATAAGAGAAATATAAAGATTAATTTAACACTTAAATGTTTTTCATTGAAAATTTAAGATACATGTTAAATTGGTTTTACTGTGACATTTACCAATTAGACATGCAAAAAAAATGTTAGTTTGTTGAAAAATAACAATGTGATAAATGGTTTCGAATCGGACTAAATTTCACAGTATATAAATATGTATTAAAAACGGTTCACTTACCATATATGACGAACACAAAAGGATATTTCAGTCTCATCTTTCTACAATATTTTTCCTCCCTAAGCAATATGTGTCCGTTTACTCCTAACAGTTCTGTCTAATAAATTATAAAGTAAGAAATAAAATGATGTTGCCCTTTTAAACAAAAGGCTTCGCTTGAATCACATGGTCAGTAAAAATGCTGAAAAGGTTTCAATGATGATAATGATTCAAAAGGTCAAACAACATTTGTTTAACCACTATCATATATTTAATAGAGTGAGAGAGGGGAGAGTTGGAGAGAGAGAGAGAGGGGGGGAGAGAGAGAGAGAGAGAGAGAGAGAGAGGATGGCTTTTAATAAAATAAAAATTGTACACGCACTTAATAAACCTACCAACAGATGATTCGAAGGGCATCTTATTGATCAATAAATTTTACTGACAAAAAATAATTAAGTCATAGCAACGGATACAAAATTGTTTATTATGACATTTGGACTTACTTTTTGAAAGGGTAGGGGGTAAGAGGTTGTTGTATTTTAGATGTATATTAATTTTGTATTGACTATCAACATATATTTATGCTTAGAGGTTTTTGTATTGTATTGTATTAAATGGAATTTATACTTTTATTCAAATACTATTCATCCTATATATGTACGAGGGCTGTCCAAAAAATTCGTGCACTGCAGTTATTGTCGTGAGAGTTATTGATAGAAAAACATGAATTATATATCACTTGAAGGGGAGATCTGTCTCAATTGAGAAAACAACAGAAAAAAACGTGTAACCGGCATGTCGTGAAAACGAATCGTCATACAGTTACCTTGGTAACGTAATACCGGCGCACGACAAAAAATTGGGTTAGTTCATTACTTTGATGCATCACGGTATTCTTTAAACACTACATATAAACGTTAAAATTCAGGGAAAAATATGTGTACGTATTCCTACCGTCACTAGAAAATTTGACGTCATTTGCCCTATTGTAACGGTCGTAAACAAACATTTGTGTGAGGTCGTCAATATTGTAATTACGTGAAAATGTCAGTCGCTAAACGTCTGGAAATACGGACGATCATTAAAGTTTGTGCAAATATTGGTAAAACACACACAGATACCTACAAAGAACTTAAAAGGGCAAGCGGGGACAAGATCCGTATTACGAAGACTGTTTTTTAATGGCACAAAGGCTCTGTAGAAGGGCGAGAGTCGGTAGACGATGACAACCGGTCAGGCAGACGTCTGTCCGTAATGCCGGACTATGTGACGAGGGTTGTCCAATATATTCGTTCACTGGTGGGATATGTTACATGTCCGTTGCATAAGAACAATAAAAACTACAAAATACTTTGCATCAATCATTCCTCTTTAGACAGTAAAACAAATTATAACATAAAAAGCAAATGCCACTTTACAAGCAACAAATAATTAATACAATTACAGTAATGAACTAACCCAATTTTTGTCGTGCGCCGGTATTACGTTACTAAGGTAACTTAATGACCATTCTTTTACACGACACGCCGGTTAGCCGGCTTTTTCTTTTGTTTTCTTATTTGAGACAGATTTCCCCTTCAATTGATATATAATTCATATGGTTTTATTAAAAACTCTCACGACAATAACTGCAGTGCACGAATTTTTTGGACAACCCTCGTATAATTTACATCCTACGTGTGTATAATTTATATCACCAGTGATAATTCTCAGTTTTATATAAAACACGTTCATCTTCAGTTATAGTCCAAAACAATTCAGGTCATTTATGAGAGATGTATATTAAATTGCTCATCATTATGCGGGAATGATAATTTCATAAAAAAAAACAGAAATACAATACACGCTCAAGGGAATGGTGAAAAACAAGATGGTACAACAGAAGTTCAAATAAAGGTCACGTTTGTCACACGAGAGCGTCACTTTTGTTTCTTTTTTTTCTTTTTCTTTTTGCATGCCACATAAATATTTCATTCTTTATTTTGTATCATAAGCATAATAACTCCGGTTTGCATGGCACTTTAAAACTTTTTATGATTGATATAAAATGATTAGATTGAATAAAAGGGGTATATAAGTCATCAAAGAAAATGTGAACATTACAGCTTTTTTAAATCAATTCTTATTGTATTGACTGATTGACATGAATGTTTTGAAGAAACTATAAATCAAATCATGTATTGATATTAACACAAAACTTTATAAAAATATTTTCATTTGGATAAGCTTAAGTATGAATACTTAACAGTCAATAAAGAAAATACTGTTTTATAAGTAAAAAAATAAAATGCATTCAGACACATTTTCTCTTATTATATATTATTTATTATATATTACATGGTTCCCGAAATAAATCAGAGCACCGTATATAACCGTGTGAACCGAAAGCCGGTTTTCTTATGGTGGCTGCTAAGAATGAAATGCCAACACTACATGTAACTGGTATCCTAGTAATTTATGAATTTCTTAATATGATAATTTTCAAAATATTGATCGTTAACATGTTTTATGTTTTGATTAACTTTAAAGCTCAAATGCCATCAATCTGTATTGTTACATGATTATATGGATAGTGTTGATCTTGAACATATTTCGGAGGCATAACAAGGCGATTTCAATTCTCTGTAAATAAAGTTTGAAAGAAGACAAACATGCATAAAGTTTTCCTTTTATTGAAATGATTTTGTATTTAGACAAAATAATAAAATACGACTGTTTTATTGTCGATGTTTAATAGTGAAGACGGAATAAAACTGTCTATGTTGCAAGACCTTTGTTTTCTGTATATTAATATTACAATTACGTATTTCTTTATATTTCACATTTTTGATAAAACAAAACTTTGTAAAGTCAATGGATCCGTCATTATCAAAGTATCTCCTTTATATACCCAGCTGTGATAAAAGAAATCAATCATTTGTCTCATGGACTTACATTTAACTCGGTCAAAAAAGTAATGACGTTCACCACAGACAAACCTTTTATATATATATGAATAAGATTTTCTATTAACTCCCCACATATAAAACGGCTGTCCCACTCTGTTTATTTATTGAAAATGTTCAGTAGTATAGATACTCGATATGTGGGTTATTGATTACTCGGGTGACGTTTATTATAAAATTTAAAAATCATTTTAGAAACATTGTGAAGTTATCTTAATTTCAACTGAACTCTTGTATTATTTAACTTTTGGTCAAAGATGAGCATTGTATAAGTCTATAAGGTATAACAACTGATGTAAGATGCTTTAAAGTCAAAGAAATAAATCTAAGTGCTCTGATAAAACAAACGTTACAATGACATTTCTACATAAATGAGTTTGTAATCCTCCGATGCCCATAGGCTACTGGAATAAGCCATTAAACTGCACATTTCATCCATGGAATTAAGCATAAGATCGTTTGAACTAATGCTCAAATAACAGCAGTAATTGTGAAAGAAATAAAGTATGACACGGGATAAGATAACCATTGTAAACAGCACAATTATAACAAAATTATTGAAACAATTGTCTTTACAATGTATGTCTTTTGAATCAAAATTAACTGGCGTTTCAACATATACCTTAGCAGGTGTTAATTTAGAAGGCATGTAATTTTTTTACATTGCAACCGTTTTGCCATTTCAACAAATTTAGAAAATCATGAGAAATATGTGTGACACAATTGCTTCTAAACAAGTGGGAGAGTTAAGACTGTAAAATATTTTACCGTCAGTAGAAATTTCGTGTTGATGTAATAAGATATCAAATCATAAAGATACTTAATCAATTTTAAGTTTTGAATTTAAATGCTCGTCGGTCTTACATTGGTAATGACAGATTTCAGTTTTTTGTCTTTTTTAATCGAATTAGAGTTATTTCCATTTCACTACTGTACTGCCGTTAATGTAACTCATTAGTTTATACTTATTAATTTAGTTTGATTGTTGTGGAAGCTATAAACTTATTGTTACACTCTCGAATCCGTTCCTGGAACCAGCAAGTATTAAGCAATGAGTGAAAAGTTCCTTGCTCACAAAAACAGCGGCTTGCCTCTGACGGGTTTTAAACACACGCGGTCAGCAATCCTTAGATTACTAGGTAACTTCTCGGCCACACTGCTTCTTCTAATTCGTTTCGTAAATATATCATCAAACTAATAAAACGTAAATGGCTTTATTATTTAGCACAGTTGTTTTGCTAAGATGCAAGGAGTTTTATGGACTGAATTTTCTTTTCAAAGTAAAGCCATAGTTTGAATCAGTTACTGAATGGGCCAAATTAGATAGTTTCATAAAACAACAAAAGGCATTCAAAATATCTCACAAGACAATATTGTAAGAGAACTTCTCAAATTGTTTCAAGGACATTGAACTTGGCGTTTAATCAATTTTACTCCTCAGAAAACTAATCGTATTACAACGTCCCTTTCTCTCTAAAACTACCAAATCAGATGTTTTTAATTTGATTTTAGAGTATGTGATGAATTTGTAATGGACAATAACAACTGTTTCTTGTATTTCCTAACAAAATGTATTGCTTCATAGCGATGTGTTTGCTTGCGATATGTATATGGTTAACGCTATGTATGCATAGATAACATTCAGTCTTTAAGTTGT